GACTATGAGTACCCCCCCCCCGCCCCCCCCTCCGCGCGCCGCTTTGTTGTGTATTTAGGGATGTCTGCATTCTCGGGTGAGGAATGGGAGCCCTCTCCCTGGGAACCGATGGCCACCCCCGATCTCGCGCTGCTGACCCTGACCCTCTTGCACCAGCTGGTGGTGCTCTGCGTCGCTGTGCACCTGGTCTGGAAGAGGGACTGGCCTCCGTACGTTACCAAGAACGTCACCCTGGTGAGAATTCCCCCTCAGAAGATTACCCCGAATGCGCACGCCATCTCTACCGGAAAAGGTGCGGGTAGAAGCAAAGTCTGGGGGAGGCCCGCGATTGTTGTGCGCGTAATGGCGTCCCCTCTCGGACCGAGTTTTTTCCCATGGCCTCCATTGCAGATTTGAATCGAAACAATGTCTGGGTGAGGCCGTGTGATTGTTGTGCGCGTAGTGGCATCCCCTCCCGGACCGAATTTTTTTCCATGGCCTCCATTGTAGATTTGAATTGAAGACCAAGCAACAATCGTATGTACAGCTAGGAGCGAGAGCGCGGGAACCGGCCGCCGACAGTAAAAGTCTCGTCCGCATACTTTCGGAATGCCACCGTTTTCCGCCAGTGGTGCTATCTTAGTTGTGGAGTGCAAATCGGTCTTCTGTATGAAAGTCCCGTGTGTCTACGGGGGATGCTGTTTCTCACTTCCCCCCCCGGGTCCATTGGATGTCCGTTTGTAACGGAGCACGTCGTGTTTTTTTTTCCTGATGCCATCTTCTTCCATGTCCGTAGTATCTGAAAATCATCTCGCACCGTGGTGCCGCCTTCATTAGCCTTCGAGCATTGTCACGCTTAGTGTCTTTGCGACATAGGACTAAAGGCCTCGCGCGCCCAAAATCGTGCGTTTTCCCGACAACAACGTGTCCGACACGTGCCCATGTATAGGTTGCGGCTACGGGACTGGGGAGCTCCTTGCACGCCCTTGGAGCCCTCGTGGCGTACGGCGCTCTGGATAGAGATAGCGGCGACTTGTTGGCGAGGTGCGGGGTGGAGGCGCTGCTGACGTTGCTCGGGATGGCCCTGCTGTTCTTTCCGGCGTTTGTGCGGGTGAGAAAGGAGGGGTGGAGAGGGAGGGACGGAGGGAGAGAGGGAGGCAGACAGACAGCGAGAGAGAGGCTGAGAGAGGCAGACAGACAGAGAGTCAAGAGAGAGACAGACAAGAGACACACCCAGAGAGAGAGAGAGAGAGAGAGAGAGAGAGGGGAGCCGAAATATTACCAGGTCCGTCCTTTTGAGTTGTCACAGCCTCTCGGTTCTGGAGCAATCGGACTGTAACAACCGACCGCACACTGGTGTTTCGTTCGCAGCACAAATGCGGTTCGTCGTTTTTTGGGTGCATTTTGTTGTTTCATGTGTTGTTGCGGACAGAGGAGATGAGATATCGGTGGCACGGGTCGGCTTCGCTACGTTGTTTTCAGCCTTCGGCTGTTTCTGGCGCGAGGATGCCTTCGACGTTGTTGTTCTTGGTGTTGTTGATGCTGCCGTTGTTGCTGCCACTACTCTTCTTGGTGATGGTGGTTGAAACTTGCCGTGGCAGGTGGTTTCGCTCTTTCTAGTGAGAGAACAACACACTTGCTTCCATGGTTTGATTTAGCGAGACTTGAGCCGCGTTGGTACCTGGGCCAAATTTGGAAACTATTTACCACCCCTTGCGCGCTCACCGTCTAGTCTTGCTCACACGTTGCTGCTGTCCTTGGGTTCTTGTTCTTGTTGGTTGCCCAGCTAGCATCATGTGGTGGAAACCAAGATGATCGTGGATCAACCTTTTGTGTCTCGTCCGTTTTTCCAGGTGTACCGGAACCACATGGTACTCGTTCGGCACTCGGCCTCCATGTGGGCGCCCATGGCCCAGCTGCAGCTCGTCTCTCTGCCCTTCCTGGTACCGGCGATCACCTACACGTGAGGCTTTCGCTTCGCGTTTCATTTTTGACAAGCAGATAGTCACACCCGGCGTGAGGATGTTGACAAGATCCCTTCCGTTCGATCTCAGTCCCTTTCGTTCGAGACAGCCGAAAGTTGTGGATACGCGCCCACCCGTGGTTCTACACATGACTACAAGTGCACACTTTCATTTCTTTTGGAAAAGGCAATGTGGAGAGTTTTCATTTGCGAAGGTTGGCATGGGCGATTGCATGCGTTTTCACTTGAACAGAAGTTTGAGATGCGGTGACCGCCTGAAGTCGGTGTTTGCATGCTTGAGTTTAGTAGAGCGAGGTTCCTCTTGGTCTGCCTGTATTATTGGAATTCTTGTCCCATTTTCATGTATGGGACTGCTGTCATGTTCTCCCGCTGGCACATGGGTGTCGTGTTCTCTGAGCCTGATATACATCGCACCTTCGATCTTAATTGTGGAAACGCGCAGGCGCCCTCGTGCGCTGCCTCGTGCGTTCTTGATGGCTGATTCGCTCGTCACCGGGGAGAAGCTGCCTTTGTCGTTGTCCACGACTTCGAGCGCGGGAGGCTGTGATTGGGCGGTTGGCCCACGTCGACGCGCTCAACTAAAACCTTGTTACTAGTACGACAACAACGTCGATATTGACTCGACCTATGTTAAAATGGATGGTCTCTCTGTGACGCTTCTGTGGTGCGTTTTCTGATGCTGACGGCGCCTTGACTGCTGCTTGTGGTGCGGCGGTTCGTGTGTCGTTTCGACCTTTAGGCTGGATCCGTCGCTGGCGGAGTTCGAGGACTACCGGAACCGCTGCATTGGCAACACTGGGATAAGTGAGTTACCACAGCAGTATAATATTTCTTGTTCAATTCATTTCCGCGAGATGACCGAGCAAGCCACCGTTGCAGGTGGTGTTGTTTTCTTCGTTAGAGCTGAGAGGCAAACGACGACAGTTTTTTCCTCATGACAGTTTTTTCTTGTTGGATTTTTTTCTTTGGAGTGGGAGTACAAACATATCGCCATTGTGTCTCCGCTCTCTCCCCACTGTGCTCACAAGGAATATATTGACGAACCCCTAGTGTTGCATGGCTCTTGTGCTCCATTTTCGATTTTGTGCATTGCATGTCCCTTTGCGTGCGCAGACCTGGCGGTCTTCACGTTCATGGCGGCGGCCGTCTCTGTGGGGACGGTGCTGGTTGCCCGGATAAAAGCCAAGCGAGTGCGGAAGCAGCTGAACGACGACACGGTCATGATGGTAAATGGGAGCGTAAATTGACTTGCAGTGGTTTGTGTTGTTGTTGTTGTTGTTGACTTCGAAATCGAAAAAAATATTTTCCGCCTGTCCCCTTTACCCTTTGCCGCTCCTTCGCCCACGCTCGCCCACGAAGACCTCCGTGGCGTTCTTGCTGGTTTGGGTGCTGTACCTCATCCCGACGGGGCATTGGTTCTGGGATGACAATCCGAGCGCGACCCGCCGGCTAGCGATGGTGGACAGTATCGTGGTGAGTTTTTTTTTACGGAATTCTTGTTTTCGACATGACTACCTGTGATGCTGGTGTACTAGGGGAGACCGCGAGAGAACGATCACCGCTGGCTTCTAGATGCGATCCTACCGTGGCTCTTTCTACTGGTACCTGGGAAAAAATACCAGTAAGTCCCAGAACCCCGTGTGCTTGTCCGAGAGTCTCCCAAACACCCTGGAGGGGTGGCTGTAGGCCCGTCCGCATAGTACAAGAGGACCTCTTGCGGGTGGTTGTTTGCTGCAAGGTGTTGCGGACTGTGCCACAACGGATGGGAAGGAGACGGTGGCACGTTTCTTTAACCAAGCACTAATCGCCACGCCCCCCCTCCCCCCCCCCCCCCC